AAAATGTGGTGTTCGTTTGAATAAAGCGACATTAATTTCGGAATGACCTAATATAAACAATAACACGGCTCGAAGGAAAGCAAGAACACGATCAAGAACTGCGAACTGTAGTGTGGTATGGCAGAAAAGCCTCTGATTTGACCCTCCAGTAGGAATTGACGCGTTGACCTCAAGTGCCCTCGGTCAGCACTAAAGGGGGAGGTCCTCTTTTCCCGGCCAGCTCTTTGAAACTTTCCGCATGTCTCTCTGCTTGCTGCCCTGGTTCACTCCTTTTTATACTAGCTGCGAGGTCAAACACGCCTCTTCTTTCCCCGCCACTAAAGATTGGAAGGACGGTGTTCTTTGCCATCCTACATATCTCTGTTCGTGGGTTTAGCATCGCAAATACTTTCAAATTTATGCCAAATATTGCACTTTCAATTCAGTGTCACGCGGAGAATGAACCTTCTTTCACGTAAAGATGAGTTTTCGAAGCGTTGGAGCAGGTCATACTGAACATGAACTTTATAAACAACGTGTCTAACCCTGAATGCGATCATGAACCGCCCCTTCAGAATTTTTATTGTTTATGCTAATGTGCTTTGTGCATATGTTACTCAAAACAAGCTAGGTGACTTCAAAACTCTCCTTTTTTGAATCAATGAGGGTACCCGCAGAACGTTAGCAGGAAGAGAACAAGAGTGTACGGCAAAGCTTCGCTTCGTACTAGCACTTGAATTCATGATCAAAAATTTGGAGCACACAAACAGTTGTAAAAATTCGCAAGTGTCACCGCTTTTAATTGGAAATTTTTTTTTTCACTTTCTATACCAGAGAAAGGCATGTGAACTGTAATTTGCAATTTCGTTTTTAGAATTGTCAAACCTCTCTCAATCCTGAGTGTGGAGATGTTGTATTCTTGTACTCCCACATCACATAGGATAAGGATAGGGAGTCGACTTAATGAGTATTTAGCGTAGTTTTGTTTCCCTTTTCGGCAACTGTGTTTTGATTTTGAACTAATGAGAATTTGAACGTTTGTCAAGGTTCCCTAATACTAGAGCTTATTTGACTTAACCTAGTTTGTTTTGAAAATTTTAATTCATACTTTTGATGGATTCATAGCATTAGATAGAGCAAAACTTAATTAGTCCTTTTGTTATCAAGGTCCCTTGTGCAACATTTATAAAGACTTTCTTCAGTGTATTCAGTCAAAGTCTAATAATTAACTTTCAAAAATTCTTACTCGAAGTAAAGTTAAAAGAAATCGAAAGGCACGTTGTCCAAAATTGAAAAAAAAAGAACTTTTGGCTTTTGGAATTCCTCAATTCCTCAATTCCTCAATCATTTTTGTATGCAAATTGCTGGAAAACTCTGCAGTCATGAAACACTTTAGCTAAAAAATAGTGAGATCTCAAACCAAATATTTATAAATTGTTTCTCAGATAATCAAGAATAATGTAGCGAGTCACTGATAAATAGTCAACGTTTTTTCACATCTTCATATTGCTGAGTCTGCTAAAGCCTAATCATACCATTAAGAATTAAAGCATACCACGAACAATGAATGAATGCACGTTGGCAAAAAATAGCGCGAAATTCAAATTTGTTTGAAGAAACTTGATTTTGTTTGAAAGATAGGAAAACGAAGAGCGGAAATGGGGCAAGCAGCTGAGCCTACGGCGCTTTCATTGTGATAATCCTCAAACTCGAAACGTTCGATAATGTTAGCGTCATTCCGCAGTGGGTTTTGAGAGAGGTTGATTGTTGTCTATAGTTGCTCAACAAAAATATTTGCACAAGTTAGCGTAGGCAAACTGAAATCTACCAATAAAAGCTTTGCTAATTAGTTTATCGTATTTAAGATAGTTTAATCATGAATACAAGACCGCTAGTCTATCTTCTTCTTCTGGGACTAGCGTCTGTTGCTGCTTGTCACAAATCGTTTGGCTTTTGGGATTATACAGGAGGATTCGACTGGAGAAAGGTAAGAAGCAGCTGCAATCTGCATATCGTTTTTTTCCAGAGTGAACCTTTAGGGTTGCAGAGATTTGTTCTTCGGATGTAGATTTTACAACTATTTTGGCCTATGCCGCAGATTTAGGTTGATAGCGCATATAGGCTGCCGAAGAATGTGCGGGACGTGCGAAGACACAACAACTCCTGCTCCCATAACAACCAACTCTCCCGAAACAACTTCGTACTCTACAACGACAGCTGAAACAGCTCCTGAAACACCTTTGTCCAAGATCCCGAGTCCTGAAACATCTCCAGTTACAGAAGAAAACCCAACATCAAAAACTAAGTCGACTCCGGACGTAGAACCGGTCACAACTCCCGAACCAGGGCCCGTAGTAAACCCCTCGTGGTTGTCACAACATAGAGGGACTATGTCGTGATAGCTCGGAGTATCTCGCAAGACTATAGCGAGCTATCCGCAGGGCGCCGCAAAACGAGGCCTCCGCGCGTCATTGAACCGCTGATGAACGCGATAACGGCGGTCACACGCGCTGCGCTATGAGTACAGATATGCCGTGGGGTATTTGCTTAGCAAGGCGAGAATGTAGTATACTATGCTTGCCAGAGCAGGTAAATCAATCAAAGGAAATCCAATAACTAACTATCCTCGCGTGTGCGCGCCTCTTTCTCCATATTTTGACTCATTATCTCATGTTCATCAATATTGATAGGAAAACGCAGTTGATCTATGTCTGTTGCAGAATTATGCTTATCTTTGTACACCATGCTGAGAAGCGCCATTATTCGTTATGGCAGGACCATATTTGACTGTTGCCCTCAATAAAAATTGAGCGTGTCAGCCCGTGCCAGATTCGTGCCAGCTCCGTGCCAAGACACAGATGGTTTAGCAGCGCGCACATTCGCTGCGCTGTATGCTACTACGCCGTGCTTTGCTAGGGAGAGGATACATGTAGCAAATAGAGCAGTTGCAGCAAATCAGTATGGGAAAACGATATGCATGCCTTATCCGTAAGTATTGTTGAAGGGTTAGCTACTACTTTTGCAATTATTGTGAAACAGCTCAACAACTCAACATAGCTTGTAGTTAGCGCAGTGCCAGTGTGAGAGGCCGATGTGCTAGACGTTGGGGGTACAAGTTCCAGGCGACACTATCTTTTTTTGCTGGCAAACTGAATTTTGCAAAGGAACGTGAATTAGAATTTCCTTTTTGAAAGAGAATGGAATTTAAAGTAGAATACATATTAAAAGTAGAAAAATCAAAATATTATCATCAGCATTCAGTCCGTTCAAAAATGGGCTATTCCATTAGCCATAACGCCAGACGGTCCTTTCTCATAAACACGAAAGGAAACGAGAAGTGCATGGCTAACGAACAGCAACCAGCAAAGATATGTGGTCGAAACTGCCAAGAATGATGAAAAGATCAAGAATTTGCGAAAGTTTGGCACGAAGAAGGGACTCTTTGCTCAAACAAGGTGCATAGCAAAAATAAAGAAGAAAAACTGCGTAAGTACGAAAAATATGGCTAAGTATGAGTCTAACATACTTTTCAGTTAAAATAAACTCACCTTTTTTCAAATACCAAAGCGGCAGCAGCAGAAGTACTTGGAGAATAGGGAGAGGCGCATTGCTCGAACAGTTAGGCGCTTATCAGCTGTTGATATTGATTGCGGTTGACGTGCGTTATAGAGAACTGTGTGCATGTGCGACCTATTGCGAGGTTGGCGTAGTCGAGCTCTAGTCTTGCGCTATGTCTCTGCGTCTCTATGATGGACAAAGTATTTCGCCGTCTTGTTCGTCACGACATGTCGCAATATGTCGCTATATGTCGCGATATGTCGCGACATATCGCGACAAAGTCCGACTACCCTGACGCTACGCATCGATTGCATCCGCCGGCAATGATAAAGGATAGCCGCTTTGCCAGCCTCGCTCCATGATAGTCAGCACATGTCACAGCATACTCCGAGCTATACGTCACGACGTCCGGGGGGTTTACTACAGGCCCAGAAGTTGAGGAGACTACTTCGCATATGGAGATGAAACGGACTTCTACCGTAGAGATGCATAAGACCACTTCAAGCTTAGAAACAGATGAGGAGAATTCCACGTAGGAAAGATATCATATTTGAAGGTTCAGCAACAAATATCATTCTCAATTTTGAGAATAAATTTTGTTGTTACCATGTCTCGTAATAGAATGTTTTTAGGTTTTGTTTCATTTAAGTAATATGAAAGTTGTGCATGAGGAAACTTATGAAAAAACTCTTTCAACGAACAAAGCAGACCGTATACGAAGTCTTAAGGCAGCATTGTATCTTCTACAATTTTTTTTCAAGCAGCAGCTATTCATGATTGGGAGATTCTTGCTATTGAAAGTGTAAAAGTTAATACGAATGGATGCAAGTATGTTGAAGAACAAAGAGGCGACTAATTGAGTGGTAACAGAAACTTGCAATCAATGTTCATTGACATTTATATCAACTAAAAGATTTAGGTCAATCATTTGCAAACTCCATTGCGATGTTGGCATGGAGAACAAAATTTCACCATTGCGCTTAATATGTTAGTGGATTTTGTATTATTTGATAAATAACCAACATACACAGTCAATCTGCTTTTAGTTGCGAAAGGCTGCGGTTCCCAAACTAGCTTTTGGGCTTCGAATCTATGACACATACACATTAGAGCTAAACTTATTGATTCAACCTCGAAGACCCTTGAAAATATAATAATATACGCAACCGCTTGTATGGATGAAGTCATTTCTAGTCATCTTACATTACAAGGAAGTCAATCCCCAAGCGTGGTTACATTAATTAGAATATGACACTCAGCTGAGAGTTAGCCATCTGTAGGTCAAACCACTTATGCCAATCCTGATGGGCATCATGAATTCGTTAGCTCGCGTTAATGGCAAAACAATGGCAGTATTTGCGTAGATCTAAGGGACTCAAAGAACATTTGAAATCGGATAAAAAGGAATGTAAATATTTTCGCAGATTAGCACAATTGTCGTTTGATTATCCTTTCCAATATTTCCAAGGACATCCCAATATGAGAGCTTCATTTCTCTACCTGCTCTTTCTAGTACTAATTATTATCGCCAGTTGCGATAAACCACGTAAACGAAAGCGGTATGAGCCGAAATCTGTAAGTTGAGGTGTCGTTTCACTAACTTTTTGCAAAGTTTTACGCAATCTTCAGTGCCAGGACAAGGCTCCAAGATACTGTAAGAGAGTCAAGAAAGGTGGATGTCAAGGGCTGATTGCAAAGGTAGCATGTAAAATGACATGCGAGCGCTGCAAAGCAGCGTCTGTGGATAACCCTAAATCTTCAGATAAGGAAGGGAAAGCTGCAAATTCGTCTATCAACAAATGATTAAGATATACTCTTGATATTCGACTGTTTAGCCACAACCGAGATTGGTAACTTATTTATTTAGGCTAACGTTTCGGCAATAAAAAAAGATTGCGGAAACGAATACATCGGAGAAACGGCACGCCCTCTGAGCATACGTATTAAGGAACATCTTAATGGTAAAGAGAGATTACGCACATCCACTCCATTGGGCGCCCACAGAGTGCAAGATCATCAAGGAGTTGATTTTGGAGTGAAAGTAGAGATTTTAGCGCGCGAAGCTCAAACATCCACTCGCAAAACCCTAGAAGCCTTTTGGATTCATTTTAGAAACCCTAAAATGAACCGCAAAGACGAGTGTCTCTCTATCACACGAGAACTCGCACCGTATCTTAATCAGATCTTTTGATCATGTGAAGACATGTTTCATTCTTTGCTCAAGCGGTCAGTAAGCACTCGCTCATACTATACCAGAACTTTACCGGCGAACGAAAGGTGAGTATCGCGTATGGCAGCCTGCTCATGGTCAAAAGAAAGCTTAGAATTTTGCCTGTAGGGTTGAGGAGATGTTTGATCGGATAGTCTGTAAATTGTGTTCGCCCATTTCAGGCTCTGAAGAAGGCGAATTATTGCCGAAACGTTAGCCTAAATAAATAAGTTACCAATCTCGGTTGTGGCTAAACAGTCGAATATCAAGAGTATTCATCATGCCGAGATTTATAGAGAGTCGAACTTTCCGATTACTTCGTAATGTACCAGCCGGTTATCGTCGACTTGTCAAAGAAGCACTGTCGCTGAGACAAAAAATTGTAGCAGCTCGACAGTCAGTCCACTTTCTTGAACGCTGCTTACGTCACCGCATCGTACCTAACTTCATACTGCGGAAGAAGTTACATGAACTTTGCGGCTTACCAGAGAACGGCAGTCAAGTGCGATCAATACAACTTCGTCTACTACGAATTGCTTTACGCACTAAGAAGAATCAAATGTACGCTTGGACAAAGAAGTGTGTATCGAAAGAACGATGTTGTGCTTTGTACTTACAGAACAGCCTCTGGAAGAGAATAGTGGGTGGGTCGTTCACAATTTGCAATTCTATTCGGTCTAACCTCAAGGCAACCTTGCAGAGAAAATTCGACAGCCTTTTGAGTAGATCACAGCCTACCGCTGCAAGACGACCCGATACGATGAACCTTTCGAATAAAACTGAGTGCGACACTGAAAACGAGAGCGAATGTCTTCAAATTTCTATGCCATCGCGAGTAACAGTGATAGGAGGATTTCAGCTTCCTGATGATGCGCGTTGTTTGTTAGAGATGGGCCCCAGTTTTTCGCCATCACAGTCCATCTCTACACCAGTTCTACGAAAGTTTACCTGTGCTCTACAAGAGCTTCAAGATAAACTCCGCAAAAGGGCAAACTCTGAGAGTGGATGCGCGAACGAAAGATCGAGTGAAGCATGGCTGCCGATACCTTTCCCGCGAATGTTCTTTAAACAGCAAGATGCGAATCCTGGCGTTGACGCAAACTTTCGTCTTTTTGCCGACGATGTTTTTAGAACTCTAGCAAGGTTTCGTAGAAGCAAGATGCACTCAAACATCAGTAGAACGCAGAAAAAGGCCATAAAACAGATTCAGAGGATGATAGAGGCTGCTGAGATACGCTTGTCAACAAGTGATAAAGGCGGCGAATTTGTAGTGATCCCTCATCATCTAGATATCGCAATAACAGAGAGACATCTTCAAGATGCCACTCTATACAAACTGTCTACGAAAGATGAGTATCAGAAGCAATATCGCAAATTGAATAGAGAATGGACAAAGACAGCGAAGGCAGCAAACTTAGCGCCCGATATCGTCAGCCGCCTTAAAAATGATCAGCCAATCTGCCCCGTACTTTACCTTCTAATCAAAACGCATAAAATCCAATCCGAACGCGATTTCGCATCTGATGACCCCGCAACTTTCAAGGTCAGACCAATAATTAGTTGCGTGGGTGGACCCACAGATAGGATCGGATGGTATCTCAGTAAAATCCTAGTACAGCTACTTCAATTCATCCCTTCCCATCTAAGCAATACGCAGATGTTTCTAGACCGTCTACGTGAGACACGTGTTTGTGCTAATCATGCTATGGAGTCGTTCGACGTTAGCGCATTGTACACGAATGTATCCAATGACTCTGCATTGCAGGCCGTTTGTGAAAATCTGATAGAACATGAACAAGCCATAAGACTTTTTGGATTATCTATCGCGCAAATAATGGCCCTGTTAAAAGCGTGTCTAGAATGCAATATATTTAGGTGGTCAGGAAAATATTTCGCTCAAATTCGAGGATTGGCCATGGGTCAGCGATTGGCTCCAACCTTAGCGGTAATTTTTATGGCCAAAATCGAGACACCCCTGTTGCAGTTGCATCCCCTGCTTTATTGCAGGTACATCGATGACTGCTTTATCATTTGCAACACACAGGCGGAAGTTGATGAGTGCTTCGAGTTGATGAACAAGCAATCAGAACACATAAGACTAACTCGGGAGAAACCCAACAACGCATGGCTGCCTTTTTTGAACGTTCAAGTCAGCATTGCTAGTGGCACCCAGAAAACGAAGTGGTTTCGAAAACCTAGTAATAAGAACATCCTTATCCACTCGCGCTCAGCACATCCTTTACAAACTAAAAAAGCTGTGATCAGAAACATGTTTCGCACAGCTACGAAGGTTTGTAGCGGTCACGAGGAAAAGATGGAGTCACTAGCCGTTGCGCGTAATATAGCTTCACTGAACGGTTATGACAACATGACGCGGTATAGGAGCCAGCAGGGAAGATTTGTGGAGAGAGCAAGAACGTCCGCAGCAGAAAAGATACCCTTCTGCATACCCTTCATCTCCGATGAAGTGAGCACCGCCATTCGGCGGTGTCTGAGGAGAGCAGGATTAGACAACTCAGTTTCGGTAGTAGACATACCTCCGAACAATTTGAAACGTATCCTTGTTCGGAATCGTATGTATGACCGCAGTTGCCCTACTCCAAACTGCCCGATATGTCCAACAGCAAGGGAGGGAGACTGCATGAGTACGGGTGTTGTATACCTCATATCATGCAGGGATTGCGGAAACGAATACATCGGAGAAACGGCACGCCCTCTGAGCATACGTATTAAGGAACATCTTAATGGTAAAGAGAGATTACGCACATCCACTCCATTGGGCGCCCACAGAGTGCAAGATCATCAAGGAGTTGATTTTGGAGTGAAAGTAGAGATTTTAGCGCGCGAAGCTCAAACATCCACTCGCAAAACCCTAGAAGCCTTTTGGATTCATTTTAGAAACCCTAAAATGAACCGCAAAGACGAGTGTCTCTCTATCACACGAGAACTCGCACCGTATCTTAATCAGATCTTTTGATCATGTGAAGACATGTTTCATTCTTTGCTCAAGCGGTCAGTAAGCACTCGCTCATACTATACCAGAACTTTACCGGCGAACGAAAGGTGAGTATCGCGTATGGCAGCCTGCTCATGGTCAAAAGAAAGCTTAGAATTTTGCCTGTAGGGTTGAGGAGATGTTTGATCGGATAGTCTGTAAATTGTGTTCGCCCATTTCAGGCTCTGAAGAAGGCGAATTATTGCCGAAACGTTAGCCTAAATAAATAAGTTACCAATCTCGGTTGTGGCTAAACAGTCGAATATCAAGAGTATTCATCATGCCGAGATTTATAGAGAGTCGAACTTTCCGATTAAGATATAATTGCTAAAGAGGAATGAATTTTTTATTTTAAAATTTTTCTATTGAAGCCGTTTTTGTGCTTGAATAAAATGGAATGATGCCACCCAGCCTTTCCAATTTATTAGCTGTTTCTTCCATTTAACCTCATTTCGGCTGAGGAAAGTTCGATGTATAGGCAAGTAACAAAAAGTAACCACTCTTGCTTAGATTAAGAATAAACTTAACATTTTTATTAGAAATGTAATATAAATGCTGATGTGATCTCTCCAAGGCCTAAATCTCTCCAAGGCCTAAAACTCATCTATTTTTTTGGGTATCCGTGTTTATAGTGATTCTGTGACCCACGAGCTAATTTTGATGATTCGAAAACCATGTGGTCGCAAATTACATAGTTTGGCAGAAACTGTGACTGTCCTTATAAAATGTGGACGCGAACCATCACTTGATTTTCGTATGACATCGAAGAGGCTATAAACTCATTTCTTAACCGCAATCTGTGTGAAGCAGATTTGCATCTGACATCATCTAATGTATGATCATGGGAAAATGCACAGATTCATTGCAAATAAAGATAACCTTTCTACCTTGCCATTAATAAATTACCTCAATTTCCGGGGTATAAGGCTCCCGCCAGAGTGCCGAAGTTATGCCAGCGCTACGCCAGCATTTCGATCAATACACGTGTATTTCGTTGGGGACATCAGCTAGCTCCGCCCCAACGAAATACACGTGTATCGATCGAAATGCTGGCGTAGCGCTGGCATAACTTCGGCACTCTGGCGGGAGCCTGAAAGAGGTTGCTGCGGCGCCGCGCATTGCGAAGTCTGCGGTCCGCGCGCGGTGAAAACTACAGCGCTTTATACCCCGGAAATTAGGGTAAATTTCTGTTATTTGAAATGGCTTGATTCTGGAAATCCCAGCTATTTATGTCAACGCCGAAAATTACTTTGGCTTGTACTATAATTTATGCAAGAATTAAGAAAGGATCCCAGATTACTTTGGCGATTTGGAACAAAACCTGGTCTAACAGTCGAAGATCCCAGTCATTAAATTGGTCTTATTGAGCTGAAACCGATCGTACTTTTACCTGCTTTTGAAGGTCATTTATCGAACATCTAATGCCACAAACTACCAGAAGTAGTTACTCGAAAACACCCGACTTGTTGCTGGTGCATTTGTGCATTTTTTTGATAAGTACACCCAATACCATGCTAATTATGCACTCTCAAGCTGTTCCTCAAAACACGTTATGCATTAGAATCTTAATAGCTTCACTCACTTAGAATCATGCAGCAG